GAGACCAGGAGCAAACTCGGTGAAGAAAGGGAAAGTTAAAAACATGCCTGTCTTAACTACAATCCCCTCTTGTGCACAGATGTATTGATATTTTGAACACAGACAATTTTAACTCAATCTGCCCTTAAATCCACCATGCCCCTAGGCAACTGGTACCCCCACCACCACCACCCAATAATAAATTCCCATAGACTCTCAAAAAGAACACAACTTCAATACAAGTCTCAAAAAAAAAAATCCCAACAAAGTTCCAAGGAGCATAAACACAGAAGGGAACATGGTACTGTTAAATTGAATTAAGTTTGGCTAAAAGCCACTTCCACCTATATTTTAATTTTAGCCTAGAGGTTTCGCTGTGCGCCCTGCTCTGTAACTTAGCATGTAATGAGTTTGCATTAATGATAAGAGGACTGTGCCCAAGCTAGAAGTAGAAGCAGTTGCGTCTCAGCCAATCAGAGCCAATCAGAGCTGCTAGCCAATCATAGTCTGAAAGCTGCCATATACAACAAGTGCTAGCGGCAGCCAATCAGGCTATTTCTGAATATATTTGTTTTTCTCTGGCTATAAAGAAGCCTGCACATTCTGAACTGTTTTCAGTCTGAACTGCTGTATTCATAAAGTATGTCCTTGCATAAATAAATTCTACTAAATTGAATTTACCTGACTTTAAAATTTGTATGTATATGTAATGTATGTGTGTATGTGTGCATGTGTAGTGTGCACGTGTGTGTGGAGGCCAGAGACTGACTTTCGGGTTTCTTCCTCAATTACTCTACCCTTTATATTTTAGGGCAGGGTCTCACACTTGAAGCCAGAGCTCGCCATTCAGCTGGTTTAGCTAGCCATATTCTCCTTGGGAATTCTGTCATGGCCTCCCAAGTGATAAGACTACAATGGTCCTTATGTGGGTGCTGAGGATCTGGATCATGAATGATCTTCACACTTAAGCATTTTACTCACTAAACTATCTCCACAGTTCCCTGAAATTTTAATTTTTAATATCATCATAAACAATATCAGAGCACACCTCCACAATAACATTCACACAGACACATATATTGCAGACTGAGGCTGCTGGAAGGAGTCAAAAGACCAAACGTTGGGATATCGGTTGTTTGTTAAGATAAACAATGTGGAAAGGAAGAGAGAGGAAGCAAGACTAAGCAGAAGGAGAAAGTGAACAGCAATGAAGCTGTAGCAAAATCCATGCAGCCTAGCAGTGAAGAAGACTGGTGAGAAAACTGTCTATGGGATGTCCAACACTGGGCCACGATGGCCTTGAGAATCTCACCTAGGCCCTGGTTGCAAGCTACCTTGGATATGACCAAAGAGGTAGCTCTCTGAAAGTAAAGGGTGTTTACTGAGCTTTCTCTCCAGTGCTAGGAATCAAATTTACCCTTAAAGAGGAATGTAGGTGGTGTGCCTCTGTGTCTGGTAGAGGAATGATAAACAAATAGCACGATCAATGAGGCCAAGGTTTTAAGCATAAAAACACAAGAAAAAACACAAAATAAAATTTAACAAATCTGCGATTCTTATATACTATTTTGGAAATGAACAAATACATTTTTATATAAAGTTTGGAAAGCTAGGGTCACAGCCAGAAAGAAAAGGCCCAAACCTTCAAAGAGCTGAGTGTGGTGGCATGTGCCTGTCATCTCAACATGCAAGAGGCTGAGGAAAAATTCCAAGTTCTCAGCCAGCATGAGCTACACAGTGAATTAGTCCTATACCAGCCAGGCTTCCATAAGGAGACACTTTACAAAACCCAAACCCAAACAAAGCTAATATAACCATAAAGGGAAGAAATTACACGGAAGTTTAACTCATCAACAATAATCAAAACAAGAATGAGGGAGGATTCTCCTCAGTGTGCTGAGAGGAAATTAGTGTCATGTTTATTCAAATCCTTTTTCGGGAATGACGAGAAGATGAACTTCTCAAACGGTTCATTCTGGAAAACGTTTTTTACTGTGACATACCCTTACCAGCAGAAATGTGAAAGAGCACAGAAGCACACTCTCAGCTGAAGGAGAGCAATGAGTTTTGAAACCCTAAAATTCAGAACTTTATATCAAAGAACTTCTTGAAGAGAGTGCGAAGATAAGGGAGAGGTTGGAAGAAGACACTCCCAGCCTACACAGCTCACACAGCTTGCCAGCCAAGTGCCCCACTGACTGATAAAACCTTGCAATACAAATGACGAGCAGGATAGAAAATTCCAATGGGCTCTAAACGTATTTTCAGATTCTCAAGCTTAGGAGCAATACAGGACATGAAGTGACTAAAATGTCAAACTTGTGGAAGTTTGATGACAGCCAATGCTGGCTGCGGGAGAGGCAGTTGGGACTTCGCACACTGTTGTAGGGAGTGTGGTCTCAGACTGGGATGCTGTGAATGAGAGGGAAGGGATCGTCTTAGGTTGGGAAGTTTGAGACTGTCTCTTTCAAAAACGTTAGCTGAGGTTGAAAACTGAGATGAAGTTGGTCACATCAAGTAATTCTAGGAAACAATTTGTGAGAAAAAAATAAGCAAGTGGTAAACGGCTTGGCGTGTTTGAGGGATTGAACACCAGCCATTGTGGCTGGGGCAGAAGGAGTAAGAGACACACAGTCAGAACAGCACAGGATGAGGCTGAAGAGGCAGATGGGGTCAGTCATGGTCATGATCTTTTTCAGATTGTTCTGTGAACTTTTATTATAATCCCCAAACCAATGAGAAGCCATTAAAAGGAGCGACACTTTCGTATTTGCATTTTCCAAAGAGCACTCTGGTCAACACTAGAGGAAGTGTATTGCGTGTGTGTGTGCATGTGTGTGAATATGCACGTGTGTTCCTGTGCATGCATGTGTGTGTACATGTAAGAGTAAACATAGAAAAACTCCCTTCTGCCTAATCCAAGGCATTAGTAATGGTGGCACAGTCTACAGGGCAGTGAGCTAATTACGAATATTCAGAACGTTGTTAGCTGACCTTGGGGGTTTGTTCAGGATAGTGAGGGAATAAAACTTAAAGAAGTACTCCTCTAGTGTCAGAGTCTGGTTTGTAAAGCCAACGGTGTGGTGTCTCCCTCCACTAAGTTGAGACGCACTGGAAGATGACACCGAGTTCAGTTAGAAAGGTGTTGATTCTGTGATGTTAATTGGCTATGTAGGTGCTCATTTCAGATGTGCTTGATGAATAAATCTAGATTCACTGGTGTCCTGGCACTCCTGAGGCTGATGCATGGGGCCAGCTGTCGCCTCTCTTCCTAGTTCTGCATGCCGGTTATTGCATGAGCACACTGGTCTCATCGGGGAGATTATCTATACCCTCGAATTTGGCAAAGGAGACAGTTCGTGGAGGTGTGATGCCTTCTCCTCTGCAGGCTGATTTGCTCCCTGTTGACCAGCACACCATTCTGGCAGCAGGGGTAACAGGTTTCAGTGTCATTGGGCAGCCACTGGAAGTTCTCAGCTGTGCTTCAGTAAGAAGTAGGAATTCATTTTTCACACAGAGCTGAAGGTCTTAGCATGGAGTTTGCTCATGCCCGCCCCATAAAACGGCCGCTTATTGACACATGAATGGCTGCCAGATGCTCTGTACAGGTTGGGAATAATTTTATTAGAAAAGAAACGTTGTCAAAGAAACTTCGTTCTCCTGTTTGGGGCCTCGGTGATGTGACAGGAATGTAAAAAAGTGTTAGGGGTCTACACGCAAGTTCCATTTACTGCCTTTGGAACCTGTGTGCCTGTGTCTCTTGGAGTCCTGTGGCCTGGTGCTAGTTCTGCACGCACACCAGCACCAGGTGGCAGACCTCGTGCACACCTAGCCCCACCTGACCTTCCATACAGGCATAAGCAAGCAGACACAAGCGAAAAAGTCCTGCCAGCAGCCTTCTTTCCACCCACAGAACCACGCTCTTCCAGAAGCACATGGAAGCAGAGTTTAAGAAAATACAGTGGTCAAGGTGTTGGACAACTGGAGCACGACATGTGGCTAATACCGCCGGGGGGCAGGGTGGGGGGAGCGGGCAGGGCCTGTGGAAGCACCAGACCTACATGGTCTGGTAGCAGCAGCACCAGTCAGTCCCGCATGCCTCTCTGGAGTCAGCAGTTAGAATAATGGACAAGAGTACTTTCCTCTGGCTTCAGATTTTACACTTCCTCAAGCAGTTTTCCATTTGTTTTTTCCATTAGCGCTATAGAGCAAGCACAAGTATGGCCCCCTATTTTACAAATGTGGTAGCTAAGATCCAGAAAGTCTTGCGAGTGCTTCGTTCCAGTCCCTTTCAGTTAACATGGACCACCCAGCAACGCTGTACTAGGACTGGGTAAAATTCACCCCAAGTATTTTCCATTCATCTTCTCTCCAACATCTTACTTACTGTTGGCATCTCTGGTTTCCTAGCCTCTCTAATTTCCCCTCCCTTCTGTTAGTTCCAGGAAATGGCTTATATATTTGCACACACAACATAATGTATTATTCTAGATGTAGTTGTATCTATTTAGTAACAGTAGACATTTCACCTGGTGAAACATCTGAACACACAGGCTGTTTTTCAATAAATTCCTAAGTAGAATTCCGAGCAATGGCCATCTATGTTCATGTGTACCCTTTAAAGTATTTTGAGGACTGGGATGATGGCCCAATGAATAAAGCAGTTGCCACACAAGTGTGAGTATTGGTATAGACGGAAGTTTCTGTCCCACCCAGACCCGCAGCCATTCAGTCCCAAAGAAACACAGAGACTTATATTAATTATAAACTGTTTGGCCTGTTAGCTCAGGCTTATTATTAACTAGTTCTTACAACTTAAATTAGCCCATACTTCTTGTCTATGTTTAGCCACATGGCTTTTCTCAGTAAGGCATTCTCATCTTGCTTCCTCTGCATCTAGTTGGTGACTGTGTCTCTGCCTTTCCCCTTCCCAAAATGCTCTTAGTCTGCTCATCCCACCTATACTTCCTGCCTAGCTACTGGCCAATCAGAGTTTTATTAAACTAATATGAGTGACAAATCCTTACATAGTTAAATAATTATTCTGCAACACACACAACTGTAATACATCTTTACTTAGTTAAAAAATATTATATCCCACAACACTCAGATACTTCCCTTAAATCTTAGATGGAGCCCTGGGAGGTAGCTATAGTTGTAAAATGTACAGTGACTACAGTATTCACTCTCCAAGATGACCCCACCCATCCTTGTCTCCTGTTACTCAATCTCTTGCGTAGTTTCCTGTCGTCCTGAGCAGGGCTTACTTGTGTAAACAACAAGATATTTCCAGAAAAGCACGATTTCTAAGGTCATATAATGAGAGAATGAGGTATCTTCCTTGATCTCTTCTATACAGCTCACTCACTGTAAGTGACATCAGCACCATGCTGGGAAAATACTCATGGAGCTCCATAGACAGTGTGACATGAGAAGAACCAAGGGTGCCATCTTACATGGAGACCCTCCAGCTCTTGCCCAGCCTGGAGATGACCATAGCCCCATCATGTGGGATTCTCCTCTGTCTGCTATGAATATATCTTATTACCGTTGGTTAATAAAGAAGTTGCTTCAGCCTATAGCAGGGCAGAATATAGCAAGCCTGGAAGAGAGAGAGAGAGAGAGAGTAGGTGGAGTCAGAGAGATACCTTGTAGCTGCTGAAGGAGACAGATGCCCAGAACTTTACCCAGTAAGCCATAGCACTGTGGTGATACGCAGATTAATGGAAATGGGTTAATTTAGGATGTAAGAGCTATCTAGAAATATGCATGAGGCATTGGCCAAACAGTGTTGTAATTAACATAGTTTTTGTGTGATTATTCGGGTCTGGGCAGCCAGGAACAAATGAGCAGTCTCCGACCTCAAAAGCTAACCACCCACCTCATAAAAGAATATGATTGGAGTTATTCAGCTACACTGCTCTTCAGTCCTGATTCACAGACGACAAATCAAGACAAAGTTTCTGGAGTCAGAAACATTAGCTGTTAAGAACACTGGCTTCTCTTCCAGAGGACCAAGGTTCAGTTCCCAGCACCCACATAGCAGCTCACAACTGTCTGTAATGACAGTCCCAAGGTTGTCTGACACCCTCTTCTGGACTCCAAGGACACTGTAAGCACGTGGTACAGTCCTGCATGCAGGCAAATAGCCTCACACATAGAGTGAAAATAAATGCATCTTTAAAAAATGAGTTTTAGTCATTGATTAAGTCACCAAGCTTTGAAATAATCAGCATAACAGTGACTAACTAACATATTGGCTTTAAATCAAACAACAAAACTTTAATCCAGACCCTTGGAAACATATCTGATCTCTTAATTTTTAATTCTTTAAAATAGAAATATAGTATCTACCTCAACACGTCTCTTTAGCAAATGTAATCATACAACACAGAAATGCTTGATACACAGTCAGTGTTTCTGGCGTAACTGATTCGTTTCTGTTTACACAGAACTTTCTTGCTTGTAGCACTGAAAATCCAACCTCTAGGGAACGTCCTTAGCCCATGCAGACAACAACAACTAGTCATCCTTGAATTTGCTTAAAATCCAGTGACAGTGGGAGATGCCAGTGGCAGATAAGAAAACAAGAACTCTGGGTACCAGGTGGACAAAATTCATGCCTGATTGGTCTGACATTCAGAGAGATGCAGGTTGCAGGATTTCTTTGCCATATCTCTGGAGCCCGAATCCTACTTGTTGACTTATTTCTTAGACATGCTCCAGGACTTAAGAAACTCCCAGTCTTCTGGGAGGCTCTCCTGGCTTTACAATGGGGTCACATGGTGGGCACACCAGGCCTGTCTGCAGCCATTTTTCTCAAAGGATGCAAGAGAGCTTGATCTAGAAGCTAGATAGATCCAGAACATCCTACTAAGCAATCAAGGATCTGGAGATATGGGGGAGGCACCACAGCTCCACAAATGAGAAAGTGCCTACACCAGCCCTCATTTGACCTCAAGAGACCTTCACCAGGCAGGGTCCTGACAGTCCCTAGTGGGCCTCCAGAGAAACCCAAGTATGTCTCAGACTCCACAAAGCCTACCACCCTTAGGTGACCTCTTTCAGGTCTACATAGAGTTCATGTTTCTCCTCTATTCCTCTCTGAGCATCCTTACAAATGCACACAGAAGTGACTTAAGGGAAGAAAGGTTCGTTTTGGCTCAACACAGACAACCATGGCAGCTAAGTTGGTTCATCTTTGGCAGCAGGAACTTGTGATACAATTTGTTCATATCTCAGTGGATTGGGAAATGGATGGATCAGAAGTAGGACCAAGTTATAACCCTCAAGACCCACCCCTAGTACCCTACGGCTGCCAGTTAGAGCCTACTTTCAAAATATTCTACCACTTCCCAAACTAGCCTCAACAGCTGGAGACCAAGTATTTAAATACATGGGGCTGTGGGGAATATATCATATTCAAACCATAACAAACACACTACCAGCTCTTTCTCATCCTTCAGGTCCATGTCATGGATAAACTCCCTGGTAGAAAGTTCTGCAGACTTCAAGGAGCCGTTCTTGTGCCCGATGCCTACCTTGGTATTGCTCCTGCTGCCAAGTCTTCCTCTCTGACTGTTCCACCAACAAACAGCAGGGTACAGAAGCCTATGACTGTTCTCATTCAGCCCTCTCTCCACAGTGCCCCATGATGGTACCTACCACATAATAAAAACTCACTAAGTACCCACTAGTTAAATGAGTAAACATGCTTCTACTTTGTTTGATTTTTTCCAAAGTCAGACATTTGGGGAGCAAAGCAAAATGTGCGAATGGTATAGTTGGCTCAGCTGATGAGCTGAGCCAGCGAATGGAAAGCAGGGCAGGGACTCCAGAGCTCTTCCTTGTCTGGGACACCCAGAGGTAGATCACAAGCAAAAGGCTACCCTGTAGCACTGGAAACACCTGTCCTCGGAAAAAGCCCGGGGTGGTGATAACTCATAGGGAGCATCCTACCGTCTGTCTCCAATGATTGTTTAAGAAGTCAGAGAGAAAAGGACCAAGTCTTGAACTTTTCTGCTTTCTTTTAGAAACAGTATGACAGAGCAGGACAGGTCTCTGACGAAGTCCAGTACCCACAGTTCTCCCCAGCAGAGCATCCGCTCTCAGCTACTGCATGACCCACCTGCAGCCACAACCCCGGGGAGTCAGGCAGGCTGGGTGACACACCAGAGAATGATTAGCAGGCAGATGCTGAAGCAGCTGGCCCTCTGGATGATCGGAGGCATGAGTGAGCACGCGTGCTGTAGCAGAGGCCTGTGGCTGGATGCCAAGGACTCCTACTTCATGTATCACGTGTCTGGTTGAAGACAAGGGGAAGAATATCTTTCAGAAATCTCTGTCACCCGACATCTGGTTTAGTGCTCTTTGCTGTAGCCCAAATAAAGTGACTTGCTACTTTTAAATCAGGTCAAAGTAAGTAGAAGGGAAAGATGTTGTAATAAGAACTTCATTCCATCTGGTAAACCAGAAAAAGGGCAAGGAAATGAGGAAGCCTTAGAAACAGGAGCTGGGCTTGAATGGGCAGCCCGCAGTCCATTCAGGGGGAGTAACTAGCGAAACAGCCTCTGCCACAGCTTGTCTGCCGAGGTGCTCAGCGAGTGGGAAGCAGCTCCACACTCTCAAGTGTGTTGCACTGGAATTTGCTGTTATTTGGAAGCAAAACAAGAGGCTGTGGTTCTCCAATCCAGGCTCATTACCAAGGCGCATAGTGTTAGACCAATAGGCTGCAGCTGTCCCTGGCTAAGCCAAAGGCTCTAACAGTAGTTGGATGTCCTCACCCATTTACATATATTCACTACTGTGATAATTGTGACAAAACTCTAAGGAGGTGTTATCATGTCTACTTCATGCCTTAGAAATATGTCTACACAACTAGCATATTTCCAAGCCACCAACCAAACCCACGGCCCCACCCTTTGCGCTATAGATTCCATATTGCCTTCTGCTTTCACCAACACGTTGCCATCTTATGCCACTTTTTACATAGGGCTGTGTGACTTTGGTTTCTAGTTCCAACTGGGATTCCACTGGGCCTGCTGGATCCCAGTCACAGCAGGCTGTGACTGGACCACTCCCAGCAAGAATAAGCCTCCCAGCGAACCATACTTCAATTCGCCATCCTGCCTGCTGGGCTGTTGGGATTTAGTACATTTTCCACAAGATGGAGCATCAAGGTAACTGCATAAAACTCACACTCACTTAGCCTTCTTTTTCTTTCAAATTTGAAAAACCCAATTCCCCATCTCCTCACAGAGCCTCGTCTGGAATTAACCAGACAGTGATCTCCTTACATTATAGAGTGGGTGCGGAGTTACGGACGTGAATTGAATTCACAGTGGTAGCCTTTGCTTGCCAGGAAACTCATCCAACCGAGGATTGGAAAACCAATCCTCAAATCTTGGGTATTAATTGGACCCTTGGCCAATGCAATCATTCTATCAGCCAATTAAGGTCCTTGGAGCGAGAGTCCGCCGTCATCCAGAGCCAGCCCCAAGCCCTCGACTTTGCCCCTCTGTCTCCAGTGACTCCAGTTTCCTTTCTTCAGTCTGTGGGCAAAAATTAAAGAGTTGTTAAAGCTGCCCCGGACCCAGCTGCCCAAGAATATTTTTTTAATTTATTTATGTTTTAGAAGACAATCTTTTCTCATTTTACATACCAATCCCAGTTCCCACTCCCTCCTCTCCTCCCACTGGAGAGATGGCTCAGCTGTTAATGGCTAGACTCACAACCAAAAATACAAGAATATTTTTCAAAAGAAGCCACAGCTAGTTTGTTGGAAGTTGTGACGTGTTTGTGAGTATGCATCAAGGCTCCTAAAAGGGTTTGGGTTCTTCTAGAACAGGACGAAGAAAAACGGGGAGACGAGGGAGTAAGGATTTCAGAAGACAGTTGATGGGTTGATGTAGCACAGACATGACAGCTTTCAGCTCCCCCGACTCTGCATCCTAGCCAGGGAGAGAACTCAGGTCTTCCTGTCAGCTAAGGGGGTGCTGGACCACTGAGTCACACTCTTCTCCCTCTTCCTTTCCCTTACAGAGAGTAGGCCTCAGGGCCTGTGATCTTGCTGTTTCCAGCCTCTCGTGGCTGGCAAGACCTCATGACCTATTTCCAGTAATGTTGCTCCTCTCTCATTGAAAAGACACAAAGGAATGCTGTAGCATCCTCTGGCCACAGATTAAAATCCAGACTCCATCATGTTCTGGTTATAAAACCCTGAGCAAGGAAATTAAATTCTCCAAACTCCTGTTCTATGAACTTTAGGTTGCCAAAAAGCCCAAATGAAAACGACTTGACACATTTAACATATATAACTTACATATGCAATAAAGTTAGTAGCTATTATTCTCTTAGAGTCATTTTTCTAAATCCTCCCAAACTCAGACTCTTCTCTATTAAAGAGAAGTCATAAAGCAGGCATTTCTGTGAGCTCCACCTTAGGATAATTGCTTTCTAACTTGGAGCAGTGCAGTTTCAAGTTAGCATGAAGAAGAGCAGGGGAACCTCTGTGAGAGACACCCGGGAGAGTGTCAGAGAGTGGACCTTAGATTCCAGCTGCTCCCCACTGGGCTTCCCCTGAGAATTCTTATGTGACCCCATGCTATACAATTATATAAAATAAGTACATAAAGCAGACATTTACTGATAATAATTGACTAAGAAATTGAAATGATTTGGGGGTATACATGTGATTTTACCATCTATTAAAGATGAAAGCATTTTTTCATGTGATGGAGATAGGGAGAGCTATTTATTTTTACATAAAAATGACATGTTGGTTAAGTGTTTAATGGTACAAGATGCAGAGCATCTTCAACAGTTTTCATTGCCAATCAAATTTGGATTTTTTTATTTTTTTAGTCATCAGTGAGTGCTGAGAAAATGCTGTTTAACTTAAATATATAATATTAAATAAATAAATATGAAGTATGTTTAGGGCCATTTCAGAAATTGCCAGAATTCCGTCTTAATCCCAAGCCAAAATTAAGTTAGCGGGTTTTTAAAATGAAACTTAAGTTAGCAAATCAAATGGTTCCTAAAATCAAATTTCCTAACACAATACAATCCAAAGATACAATAATACTTACAAGTTGAGAGGTGATGTTAGAAAATACAAAAAGCTTTGTTTTCTGGAATTAAATCATTGTGTTTTTGTAAGAGCAGAACTTTTTGTACATACAGTTAAACACTGCGCTTCACAATATACAAGCACAAATCTGAGTCACAGTGTTCCAAGCACTGTTCTTTGGGGTTGTGTAGTGTGGCATGTGCAAAACAGAGTGTGTGTGCTGTCTGTTGTGAACCAAGACTACAGTGAAGTCCTACATGGAACATGGACAAGCCTTGCCAGAAACACCTTGAATTCATTTTAGATCATTGCCTGATCAGAAGCAAAAAAAAAACAAAACAAAACAACAACAACAACAACAACAACAAAAAACCAAAAAAACCCAGCAAAACAAAACAAAATAACTGAGATATATACAGTCACCCTCGGGTACATAAATCAGGAAGTTTCCTTTGATATATGAGCAGAGAAGTACAGAAATAATGCAATCATACTAGTTTTGGCCAAAGAGACTATGCTCACTTGAAGTACTCCAATCATCGAGTGGAAAGTGAAAGCTTTTTATGGATTTTATTATCTGAGAACTGGCTTCAGGCCCCAAGAGCATCTGAAACATTGAAATGATTTCCCAATAGCACACAGTCCATACGGCAGCCACAGATGCAATATGCACCAGTAGATAATAGGACTGGCCTGACATGAAGCTAGGGGAATGGTGCCCATGATGATTATCAACATAAGGCTCACCGAAACAAGGAGCCATGAGCTGACTAAATGATGGTACCACTGGGCACTGTGTCAGTGTGGTCTGCATATCTGGAACAAAGTTGGGTACATGCAAAAGCCCAGAAATACTTTTTGCTTAGACTTCTCTGACATTATCTCTGATGGTTATCCAGAATTGCGGATGGTTGACTTTGCCCAAGAATAACTGAGTGATTACCACCATGAAAATTCGTGAAATAACCTTGGAGTTCTTCACTTCTGAACAAACATGAGGATTCTCATGGAGAAAAATCATCTCTGACCGTTTCACCTATGTTCTCTTCCTTGCATCTGCCCTGACCATCTAATCAATCCTGACGACGTAATTTATTTACTATGAGGTCAAAGTCATATGCCAAAATCTTCAGGGGTTTTGTCAGAAAAGAGCAATTTTTCTTCAAGGCAAAGAGACCTAACAAAGCAGACTGAAAATTATAAACTCCAGTATAGGGAGTTCATCGGTGTGCCGAGCATGGCCCTGAGCTGGTCCTTTAACTATGTCTGCCGCGTGCAGTTGCTCATCATTATTGGCCACGTCTGCAGCTAGGCTAGGATCCTCCCACTATTCCTCCACTGATTCACCACTGAGGATTCTTTCAAGGGACCCTGTCACATCTACTTCACCATAATCCTGGGAATTGTCCATGTGACGTCTGTAAGCTCAATACATACCCAGATATCTAGGGCAGGATTTTGTTCCAGGAGACATACATTCAGGGTATCTAAAATTTAGAACCGTGACTGTTCCATTTAAAGCCTATCATACTTGCAAGCTGATAATTCATTAATTCCTTTAGAGGTAGAGGAATAATAACATTAATAAAATAAAAACGATAACAAAATAACGAAAGAGGCTGTTCCTCACCTATACCCACCGTGTCAAGGTCTGTAAGTAAGTGTCTTAATTTGCTTTCTATTGCTGTGGTAAATACTATAACCAAAAGCAATTTGGAGAGAAAGGAGTTTGCTTGGCTTACATGTCTCTGACTCAAGCAGAAGTAGGGGCATGAACCCTGAAGAAAGACTGCTTACTGGCTTGATTTCCATGGCTTTCCTCATAAACCCAAGATCAGTTGCCCAGAGACCACACTGCTCACAGTGGGCTGGGCCCTCTCACATCAATCATTAATCAAGAAAATATCCCCATAGACCTGCCCAGTCTAATAGAGACATCTCAATTCAGAGTCCCTCTTCCGAGATGACTCCAGTTTGTGTCAAGTTGACAACAAACTAAACCAGCACCAGGAGGCAGTCAAAACATCACAAAGTCTTGATGTCTGCTTGGTGCTGTCTACCCTCATCTCCATACTGTTGCCCAGACTTCTCATATCCTTCGTATTCAGAGCACAATCTGGACCCAGGTCCCAGGACTGAGAAGAAAAGCAAAGGGTAGTGATTATCATCTCTATGACTACGATCCAACAGTGGCTCCCAAGCACTCTACAAGACCCATATCCATCTTTTATCTTTTCTAAAATGCCTTGGGCTTCAGCAGATTGACCCAATTTTCCATTAAAAACAAAAACAAATAGCAACAACAAAAAAACTAACCGCTAAGAATAAGAACAAACCAACTCCCTTGCCCCAACACAAAATCATGTGCCATACACACTATGGAAGAAAGAGAGCTGCCTCTAAAGATATCCTGAGGTCATTCCGGGTCATCTAAGACAGCCCGAAATGAGTTTTTTGGCTCAAGCCTCACCCTTGGGAGTGGCACTCATTTCTTAGTCTGTGGCACTTCCTTCCTCCCTTGTGGAGTCTTTTGAGGACACTTCATGGAAGGTAAGTTTCCTTTCATTGAGGGCATCCTGAGTCCTGAGAGTTGGGTGAGAACACGGAAGGACTCGGCAATGACAGCACCTGGTACATAGAGTGTCAGCCCCTCAAACCACTTTCCACCACAGCATCAGATGTAATTCAGAAGCACAGATGTGTGCCTGGTCCTGGACAGATGCAAATGTTGCCCTTCCTGGCATCTCTTCTTGCATTTAACTCCCTCCTCCTCACAGGCATCATCTCTCTTCCCCAGACCAAAACAAAGGACTGGGTAGTGCCCTCTTCATTGACATGAGCTCCTCCACCCTGGAGAGCGCTCACAGTGCAGTGATCGCTGTTAAAGAGTGTGGTGAGAATTGGGCAAGAGACCTGATGCTGTCATCCTGGCTTTTTTTCAGGCTGTGGCTGGAAATTCTAGAGAGTGATTATTCCATGAAACCATGCATTATGATAAGTGCTACAATAATGCTCAAAAGCAAGATGGAGCAAGAGAGAAAAGTGTATACTTTCCTTGATCACCTACTATGTGCCTTGTCCTTTAGACACATTCCTTCAAAGCCTTCCTGTCTTATTCATATTACCATCCATTTGCTAGACAAGAATGAATGATCCTACGATACACTAAACCCAGGAGGACACTAGAGGTGTTGAGGGGTAAGGGGGTGGGGAAGAGCTCAGGGACAGGCGAGAGATGACCAGTAGGTACTCCAGGGTGTTGGCTAGGGGATTTGAGGTGGCTTCTAAATACTCATTGAAAGAAGAAGTAGGTCACTGGTACCAAGCCCTTGGGGAGGGGCTGCAGTCTGTGGCTCCTTTCATGTTGCTTCTTGTCACCATGAAATGAAGAACTGTGTACCACATGCTCCTTACATAATTTCTTTCCCAAGCACACGGAACCACACAGCAGACTGAACCCTTTAAAACTCTGGACCAAAA